AAAAAAAAAAGGTGCGGGAAAAAAAATTTTGCGTGGGAAACACCCCCACTTCTAAAGAGGCAAGGAAAGGTGAGTTTCTTCCCCACGAAAGCTTATGCTCCCAGTACTTCTGTTAGTCTCAAAGGTGCCACAGGACCCTCTGTTGCTTTTTTAGGATTTCCTCCAGTTACTCCTGTATTGAGCCTAATAACTTGTTTGTCCATTAAAGTGTATCTTCTAGAAATGCATCCACTCTTGAGCTGAAGACTGGATATATGTATAATCTACTCCTTGAAAAAAAACAAACGTGTAGTGTTAATAAAGCATAACCAGACTGATGCATTCAGAAACTTAGATGCCATATTGCGATTCCTTGTAATGTTTCAGAGATTTTATATATTGCCATTCAACTGGCTGATGCATTCCCACTTTGTGCAAGGAAACCATTAGTATTTTCCAACGCCCCTATTTTTTAAAAGTTTATTATTTATAATCTCAAAAAATGTAGGCAGTTTTGTAAAACAAGTTCTTCCTACAGTCCAGATACCATATAGTCTATATATAGTTTCCTGATTTGGACACTCAGGATTCCTTGGGACTCGGTGAAAGGCAACACACCCATTTCACATTGAATTTGAGTTGGCAATGCTTAATAACCCCTCGTGACTAATGATTCATTTTTCAGACAATTCAGAGACTGTACGAATTAATCTCAGTGCAAGTTTGCCCTGCCTGGGAAAAAGATGCATGGTCCAAGACAAAAACTGAAAGTGTATTAATTTGACAGAATATTGACCAATAGATATGTTACATTACTGTCTTTCCTTCTTAACTGCAGGACTAGTTGGCTGCCATGCTAATGTTGCTTGTGTTTGGAGTGCTGCTTCAAGAAATCCTAGCTAATGCCCAAGATGAAAATCTTACTGAAATCAAAAACATTCAAGAAGTGCCATTATATAGCTACAAAAGTATCAATGTACCAGAAGAGCATATTCCATACTTTCTGCACAACAATCGGCATATTGCCACAGTCTGTAAGCAGGACTCTCATTGCCCATATAAAGTAGGTATTTCTATGTTTACTCAAATGTAATTTTGGGGTTGCTTATTCTTAGAATCATAGAAGTTAAAGATGGTAATAAGTTGGTCTATTTGTCAGTGTGTTGGTCATCTCTGGGGTTAGAACAGCTCTTCCTTAAAACTACTAAGCAGTGCTCGTTCTTGACTCCCATACTGTCACAAGAATGGGGAGGGGGGAAGGGATTTGATATATAAAGAGTTTTTTGTTAATTACCGTGATGGTCTGTATTCACCCCTTGCACACTATTATAATAATCTTTATATGCATCCGAAGAAGTGGGCTGTAGTCCACGAAAGCTTATGCTCTAATAAATTTGTTAGTCTCTAAGGTGCCACAAGTACTCCTGTTCTTCTTTTTGCGGATACAGACTAACACGGCTGTTACTCTGAAACCTGTCATAATAATCTTTGTACAACTATGCCTTGTGAGGTATCATTTGAAAACTCATAACTCGCTGGTCAATATTGTCCTGAGAAAATGTGTGTGGCAACATTGTATGTAAAGTTATAGGATTCCACAGTATGGTGTTACTAAGACCGGTTCCAAATCTGGGAAGCAGCCAAACCAGTTTCTCAGAGACAAAAAGACAAGATGACACCTCAGCCCAGATGTCAGCAAGGTCAAATGAGCCATCACCTGCTTAAGTGGCTATTCATTGGCAGGAAAAGGGACATGGGCGAGAAATCTACCTCTTAAAAAGAAACAGCTTGGGGTTCCCATCCTCACAGACGTTGTGTCTCCTGAACTTCAGCTGGAGATGCTTCTCGAAGAAGGGAAAGAACTATGTGAAGGGAGGGCAGATGCCCCAAATCATTCCCCCCTTTCTCTGCCCATGGAATCTGTGACACCTGAAGAACAAAGGAAGCAACATTGGATTGGGGGAGGGATCCTGTCTGAAAGTTCAGCCAGTAGGACTGCTTTGAATTCATTCTAGTTAGGTATTAGTTGCGTTTTACATTTATTTTCCTTGTAACTAATTCTGACTTTTATGCCTCATTAGTTATGTTCACTTAAAATATATCCTTTTGTGGTTAATAAACTTGTTTTTATCTAAACCAGTGTGTTTGAATTGAAGTGTTTGGGAAACCTCATTTGGGATAACCAGATTTGTGCATATCGTTTTCTGTTCATAAAATGATGGACTATATATGAGCTTGTGTTACCCAGAAGAGAGCTGGGCAATACAAGATGTACGTTTCTGGGGAAAGTCTGGGATTGGGAGTTTGCTAGTGTAGCTCTGCAGTGTAATTCAGGAGTGGCTGGCTACAGTACTCACAGTATAACTGGGAGTAACTTACAGGCTGTGTGTGAGCAGGAGTGGTAGCTCTCCGAGCGATGCAGTATTAAAGGCACTTTAGCTTAGAGAGCAGAGGTGACACAGCTGTTTATCAGTCCAGATTGTACCCTGGGTATGTCACAGTGGCGCAGCAAGCAGGGTGTGTGCATAGCTCTTTATTTCAAATGAGGTTTACACTTTAAGCACTGGTATAGCGATTTTAAGTGAGTCTCAGGTCTGGCTGGGAACAGTCAAAGAAAGTTAGTTTGTTATTTTCTGTTCGCTTATTTCGGGTAATTGAAATAGAAACAATCAAGCATAAAAATGAGCATCACTGAAACAACTGCAAAGCTACAATTAGCCAAATTGGAGGCAGAAGAAAGGGAGCAAGGCAGCGAATACCAGAAATGGCAGGCAGAAATGAGACTGGAAGCTGCCCACAGGCGAGCCATGGAGTTGAGACTACAAGAAACTGAAGCCCATAAAAGAGCCGTGGAGCTAAAAGACAAAGAAGCTGAAGAAGAAGAAGGAGAGGAAATATAATCGGGACCTGATAGAAAAACATGGAAAGATCCCAGAGTTACCAACATCTCTCTCCACTCAAGGAGCCCTCAGCTTGGACAAGTTGTGTCCTGTGAGACTGCACTGAGGAATACCTTACCACTTTTCAAAAGCTATATGAGGTTCATATATTCCTGAGGACAAGAAAGTCTGATTACAAAACTGTGTGGTAAAGCTTTAAATGTATTTAATGAAATGCCAATTCGGGAAGCTTTGAAATATTTTGAATGTAAGAAAGCCGTTTTACAAACGTTTCAAGTCTGAAATTTAGAAATCTTAAAAAGTGCTGGCATGAATCCTAGTGAATATGCTTATAAGATGTCTGACCTCACAACAAAATGGGTAAAAGGGAAGAGGGCTGAGGAGTATGACTAACTGCTTGGTCTCTTTGCTCAGGAACATTCCTTGAATATGAACGAAAGATGTACGGAGTGGCATGTGGGATAAACCTTTAAAATCTGTTTTCGAAATGGCCTCTCTGGCTGATCCCTTTTGAGTCCAGATGTCCAGTGAGCACAAGCCACAGAAGGGGCAGAAACCCAGTGTAAAGGGGGAATCACTTTTTGCCCCTGGGAAAAAGGAGGGGGGTTGGGAGCCTAAGTACTCACCCCACCCCAAATCGTTCCCCTCCTAGAAATCCCTGTCACAATTACCATATAGCCAAAAGAGAAACCGGCTTGTTTACACTGAATAGCACGTTCAGACATGTGAAAGAAGCTCTGTATACTAAATACAGTTATTAGAAAGTTTCTAGACTTGCTACCAGGCTGGTGTGTAGTCTGCTTGTCACCTCCAAACTTATGTCAGGTGTATTGAAATTTCAAGTGCTAAAGCTTTAATCTTACAAGCACTATATACGTGTCCAACTCATGCATATAGTCCTATTGAAGTCCATGGGAATAATACTTGTGCATAAAAGTGTGTGTGTGTTTGCAAGACTGGGGCGCAAGATATAAACAGGTAATCTAAACAGTTCCTTGTGATAATTTGGTGTGAGAAAATGTAAAATTGAAAGCTTTTTATGCAAGACTGGTGTTAGCTAACTGTTATTTGGAATTCAGCTGAAATTTGCTGAAATATAACCTAATAATCCAACAGTTCTCAATGGGGATCTCCTGTGTTACAGAAATACTTGAAGAATCTAAAATCCTGCTGGGGCTATGAGCGATCCTGCAAGCCAGAATTCAGGTTTGGTTACCCGGTGTGTGATTATGTTGAAACGGGATGGTAAGTTTCCATTTTAAATGTATAGAAGTACAGCATGTCCCTAACATACCACACTGATGTTTATTTTGGATATTGAGTTAACTTAGTTGTTTCAAGGTATAGTGCAGTGTTTATTTCTTCATGGAGATGTGCATAACTTTGAACTTTTTCAGGAAAAAAAAGTGTTATTTGAAGTACTTCATGTCATGATATTTATGCAGACTGGCTAGTTCAGGGGTCGTCAACCTTTGGCATGCAGCCCATCACGGTAATCCGCTGGCGGGCCGCAAGACATTTTGTTTACATTGACAGTCCGCAGGCATGTCCCCCCATTCCCCCCCAGCAGCTCCTAGTGACCAAGGTTCGCCTTTCCCAGCCAACGGGAGCTGCGTAAACAAAACGTCTCACGGCCCGCCAGTGGATTACCATGATGGGCTGTGTGCCAAAGGTTGCGACCCCTGAGCTAGCTTGTTATAATACAGCCTTAAATTCAAGTACCTTTTTCATAGCTTAAAAAAAGAAAAGAGAACTTGATGTTTTTGTCTGTGTCCAGCTTTGGATTCCTGTTTTGAAACTGAATGGAGATGAAAACAATACACTGGCTGGCTCTTCTCTTCTGGTTTATGTATTAATAACTTCAGCTTGTGAGGGGAGAGAGCCTACTCTATAAGATGGTTGTCAGACTCCTTCTGTGGTTAGGGGAATGGTATTTTCAGTTATGGACCATGTTCTCCACCCACTCTCTATGATGCACAGTCTAAGGACAAAACCTGCAGTTTTGATATCTGTTGAAATTTGGCCTGAGGACGTTGTTTGTCCTTCTCATAGCCCCAGTGCTGGATCCATACAGCGGGGATCATTTTGCAGGATCTGTGCCGTCATAACTAATATACTTTCCATTTACTTTGTGTCCTTTTTGTGTATCTCTCATTTTTACTGTCTTATTTTTATTCTGTCTAGTCTGAGATTGTCTATTGTAGGAATTAAAAACATAAAATAACCTTCCATTAACCACCAATTGCATTGGTTACAAGAGGCATAGATATTGCTTTTTGTAGCTCTGCTTTCATAAATTGTTAGACTCAAAGGCCCTGTTGTGATCACCATAACGCAGGCCATAGAAACCCCCCAAAATAATTCCTTGAGCAGATCGTTTAGAAAAACATCCAATCTTGATTTAAAGATGGTCAGTGATGGAGAATCCACCATGACCTTTGGTAAATTGTGCCAATGGCTAATTACTGTCACCTTATTTCCAGTCTAATTTGCCTGGCTAGTTTTGAGATCTCTCAGAAGATGAGGATAAATAAAATTAATTTCTCAGGCATCCTCCTGCTGTTTGAATTAAAGAGCCACTTCAAAAAGCTAAAATGTATTAAATTAAGATCCTTGAATTTTTTTTTATGCATCAGGGCCAATGACATTGAGACAGCTCAGCAGATATTCTGGAAACAAGCTGACTTTGGTTATGTTAAAGAGAGGCTGGATGAAATGAAAACCCACTGCAAGCCTATAGCAAAGGTAGGAGTTTTTATATACTTATAAGATAAACAATGCAGTCTTCATAAGTTTTTAAAAATAATGCCACTACATAACCCCATGGTACACCCACACCTGGAATACTGTGTGCAATTCTAGTCGCCCCAACTCAAAAAGATCTTTTAGAATTGGAAAAAGTACAGAGAAGGGCAATAAAAATGTTAGGGGTATGGAACAGCCTCTGTATGATAAGAGATTAAAAAGACTGAGATTGTTCAGCTTGGAAGAGAGATGACTAAGGCAGGGATAAGATAAAGGTCTATAAAATCATGAATAGGGTGGAGAAAGTGAATAGGGAAGTGTTATTTACCCCTTTACATAACACAAGAACCAGAGGTCACCTGATGAAATTAATAGGTAGCACATTTAAAACAAAAAAAGGGAAGTAATTCTTCACACAATGCAGAGTCAACCTGTGGAACTCATTGCCGGGGGATGTTGTGAAGGCCAAAAGTATAACTGGGTTAAAAAAAGAATTAGATAAGTTAATGGAAGATAGGTCCATTAATGGCTATTAGCCAAGAGGGTCAAGGACACATCTCCATGCCGTGGGTGTCCCTAAGCCTCTGACTGCCAGAAGTTGAGAGAGGAGGGTAACAAATGCATCACTCGTAATTGCCCTGTTCTGTTCGTTCCCTCTGAATCATCTGGCACCAGCCACTGTTGGAATACAGGATACTGGGCGAGATGGACTACTGGTGTGGCCATTCTTATGTTCTTCTGCTCCTAGTATTATTTTATTGTAATCAATCCCTATTTATTCTTTTTGCACAGGGTGATTCATCTCTGGCCTGCTCACAGTACCTCCAGCATTGTAGAGCGACAAACTTGTACATTGATTTAAGAACCACAAAGCGAAACCATGACAGGTCTGTGAATTGCTTATGTTCCAGCAATACCAGGAAACACCAGGGAAAGTACACTTCAAAATGCATATTTCACAAATCTCCCTCTCTGCAGTTATCTAGTGCATTCGTCATCATGGTACCTGGGTTTCAAAACCTATAGAACCAAAGACTAATTGTGCTAGGTTCTTCCCGCATTTACACTGGTGCAAACCAGACAGCTTACTGGTGAGACTTGGGACCTGATCCTGCAGAGACTTAAGCATGTGCTTTATGCATGGTGAGTAGTCCCCACTGAAGTCAGTGGGATGACTTGTAAAATAATGCAAGTCTTTGCAGGATCTGGACATTGAATATCAATCACAGGGGTAGATTTCAGGAAGGGAAGTTTTGGAGTGTTGCATTTACCATGTATGGCACCACCACTCATTGAAGTTCTCAAGGGAAGAAACTGTAGGACCACCCACTAGGGTGACCAGACGTATCGGGACCATCCCAATTTTTAGGTGTTTGTCCCGCATCCAGACTGATCTCTGGTTGGGACGCAATTTGTCCCGATATTTCACTCCGCCAGCAGTTTTTTGTTTTTTGCTCCGCCGGCGGACACGCCCCAACCCCCAAATTTCCCCCCC